ACTGAGGTGTTGCAAGAATTAAATGAAAACTGCCCACTAGGTTATATGCAGTAGCATCCAAATTGACTTACAAGAACAAGAAGCAATTATATTCAGTAGCAACTAAACTGAGAAACTTTCCAGAGCAAAAAGCATCTTTTTTATATTTGGAATTGAATAGTCACCCAAAGAACCTCAAAACAGAATACACTGATTTTGAAGAATAAAGAGAAGCCATTTCCTTTTCAAGGCAATTTTTACCCAATTTGTATGCATGCAATTGGAAAAAATAAAATGACAAAGAAATGTACAGAATTCCACTACTAACATTGTTTATTTCATTGGTCTGGAATTATGGTGAATGATCTTAAATTATTTGAGGGGTCTGCTGGATTTTAACCAGTACATTTTGTTCTCTTAATAAGTAACTCAGAGAATTTTCATAGGTTCTCTTTCCATCTCTTGTTTTGTATTGGTTTGTTTGACACATAAGGTTAGCATGTATTTGTGAGGGACAATGTGATCTGAGATTCATGAAAACATTGATCAACTGAGTTAATTAGAATATCCATCCACCTCAGCTGTTATTTCTTTATGCCAAGCACATTCAAAAATCCTCTTTTTTACCATTTTGAGACTTGTAATGCATTATTATTGATTCTATTCACCCTGCCATGCCATAGAACATCATAACTTATTCTTCCTATCAAATGATAACATTCTACCATTTCATTTTATGGTATTTTCCTGGGTCCCTCAAAGGGAAATTTTCAAGTACCTTGACTAGTTTTTATAATGAATACAGTACGGTAGTAATGACAATTGGTAAGATCTTCTCCTCATTTGGTTATTTTTAAAAGGCAGGCACCATGCTGAGCACTTTATAAATATTTCTTAGTTTAATTCCACAGACACCTGTAATAAAACTACAATGGTACCTCAATTCACAAACTTAATTCTTTCTATGCTGGGTACAAACCAAATGGATGCATACTGAATCAAATTTAGTGCTTAGGTTTAATTTTGACCTTATGGGGAAATTTGATTTGGTTCTCATCTAACTTGGTTTGTGACCAGAATTGTGGAAATAATTCCCTTGATGAATGGAGGGACCACTGTATTGTGTTTACAGGTAAAATGGGCCTCTGAAAGGGTCAGGAGTCTTTATGGAGGATACAAATGCAGGTTAGGTGTTCTTTTTAACCTGTCCTGAGAAAGAAATGGTCATTTGGTTGGTTGAACTTCGCCTCTGAAAACCATCTTCCTAGCTCCCTGGACCGAGGCTTTATGAAGAGAGCAATCTAGGAAAGAACATCCCTGTCTTAGCAGTGTGGTTAGCAGAAGACCCTAGATTTCTCTTATTTCTGACATTGATTTCTGTCTTCTCTTTTTATCCTGAGATTACCTAGCAGTTTATTGATTTCATTGGGTGGTTGTTGTTGTTGCTGTTAAGCCTCTTTTTGGTTTTGTAATTTCTCCACTGTTGTCTTGTTCTCAATATCATTGATTTCTGCTCTAAACTTTATTATTTCTTCTTTTGTTTCGACTTTCTTTCCTTTTCTTCTGCCTGTTTTAGTTTAAATCGCCTTTCTCTGTTTTTAAGGAGAATATTCGATTATTGATTTAATCTTTTTCTACTTTTTAAAATAGCACATTTAATGCTACAAATTGCTAATCACTGCTTTTGCTGATCTCAAACTTTTGATAGGTTATACTTACATTTTCATTATACAAAATAATTTTTATATCCCTTCAGGCTTCTTTGACTCATGTGCTATTTAAAATTGTGTAGTTTAATCTCACAATATCTGGAGAAACTCTGGCTTTATGATATTGTTTAATTCCATTGTGGTCTGAGAGTATACCCTGCAGAATTTCTATTATTTTAAATTTGAGAAGCTGCATTTATCTTGGTGACTATTCCAGGTGAGGCAGATACTGGGTGCCATTGTGAGATAACACATCCTGTAAATTCCAGTCAGATCAAGTTAATCCAGAGAGTTCTTCTCTCTGTTGAGGGTTCTCTGACCTTTGGCTTCCAATGAGCTGAACACAGAGCTCCCATCTGTGTGTGTATGTGTGTGTGTGTGTGTGTGTGTGTATGCATGTGTGTGCTATCTCTGCAAATTTCTGGGTGGTGGTTTTCTCTTTGATCTATATTTGTTATAAATCTAAGGAAAGTCGTTGATCTTTAGTTTGTTCTTTGTTTTGCTTGTAAGACTGATGATGTCTTTAAACCTTCACATGTTAAAACTAAGCCCCAAAATCACTTTACTTATATGCTTATATTTTTTGAGTTTTGCTGATGTGGGTTTCTAAGTTGACAGGTTGGTTTTTAAATCCTAAATAAGCATTTAAAATATGCCAGCCAGTGCCCTCAGGCCTTTGTTTTTCTTATTGAAAATCTTGTCTTTATCACACTGGGGCTCCCTTGTACATGATGATGTGTCAAATGTCATCTTTCTCTTTTTCCATTCAAGACTGTTCTCACTTTCATCATGTGGGCTTTGTCTTTGTGAATCTGTTTGTGTTTAATTTTCTTTGGAGTCCACTGAGCTTCCTGAGTGTGTAGGTTAATGTTGAGTATTTTGTGGCCATTGTTATTTCAATTATTTTTTATATTGATCATTGTATCATTGAGCTTTCCCATTACTGTGTCACAATACCTCACAGACACAACCTAAAGAGGAGGTTTAATTTGGCTCAAGGTTTCAGAGGATTCAGTCCATGGTCTACTGGCTCCAAGGCACAAACATCATGGCAAAAGGGCAAGATGGAGCAAAGCTCCTTAGTTCATGCAGCTGAGAAGCAGAGCAGTGAAACATTGCTAACAAGGAAAGGGCTGGAGACAGATGTAGTACTCAAGACCATACCTCTATGACCCACACAGATACAACCAACAGTCAGTCTCACCAATCCCCTGGACAACTCCCAAGCCAATCAAGTTGAAACAATCACACCTGGCCAACATATTCATTATGAGTGTCCCACATTTCTCTCCAATTCTGTTCACTTTTCTTATTTTTCCTCTCTAGTCTTCAAATTGCATAACTTTATTGAACCACCATCAAGTTCACTGGTTCCTTTGGCTACTAGTTCAAATCTAATGAATTTTTCAATTTTGTTATTTTAGTTTTGAAATCCAGAATTTCTACTTGTTTCTATTTTTATAATTTCTTTCTCTGTGCTCAGATACTCTACTTGATGAGACATTATCATCTTTAATTACTCAAAATAATATCCTTTAATTTTAAACACATTTAAGATGTCTGCTTTGAGATCTTTTTTGCTACACTGACTGAGCCTCCTCAAAGCTACTTTATATTGCCTGAATTTTTGTCCTGAGTATATGTAATACTTGTCTCTTTTTTCTAGTCTCATAATTGATATTTTTACCCAGAGAATTTAATATAATATCATGTCCATGTTGAATACTGTTTTTTTACACACTCTGGGGCTTTTTCTCATTATTTATTAACTCAAATAGATCATTTCAGTGAAGCCTTTTTCTCTTGAAGTGTTCATCCTCTAATATCCCTGCTCAAGTTTTTTCCTCATTTTATCTTTAAACCTGGCTTCCTAGGGGTTTTCCTGGGGCCAAAATGTCTTAGTGGTTAGTTACTGATTGGTGAGATATTTTGCTTAAGGCCCTGAGCCAGTGAGATTTTCCCTTTTGTCTATTGGATCCGTGTTGAGACTCCTTTTCTGCTCAGGTATGTTATGGCTGTGACCCATGATTATCTAGGGGCTTGTAACTCAAAGGCCTCTTTCTAGTTCCCCCTCAGCGGTGCAACTTTGGGGCTTGAACACACATCCTGACCAGCAGGGATGAATGACCTTGATTCCAGCTGGACTCTCTCGATCTACATCTCAGATTTCTTCATTAAACTTCCAGTTGGCCAGCCTCTCTATTGCTATCACCCTAGCCATTAATTGTCACAAATTCCTGGCTCATCTTTCCATGCTGTGGACCATACAAAGATGGGCTCTTCGGCAAGGACAATGCATTACCAGTCATTGCTTCTCTCCTCTCCTGCACACTGGAACAAGTGGGAAACTCATTTTTCCCCTGGCTGCCCTACCTTGCTCCTCCCTGAGAAGCAGGTGCTCCATTAGAAGTGAGGAGATAGCATTGTCTGGTTTCCACCACTGCCCAGTGTGAATCTTTCAAAACCCAAAGCTGAAGAGGACAAGATCCATCCATGTTGGGCAGCTGCTGAATCCCCCATGAACATCTCCCCAGATCCAGGAGTGTGATGGAGCTGGGAGCTGTGATTCCACTGCCAATCCCCTTGGTAATGACTTTGGTGAAAAACGCTTCTCAATTTGATATAAGTCCTTTGATCAATCTCTGGAAATCTTAAATCATTATTCTTGCTAATTTTTCCCAGCTTGAGAGAGGTCTCTTTAGAGAAGAAGCTTCCCCATGCTTCTCATTTCAGCACTATCAAATCCAAACCATGATTTTACTTTTGGTGGTTATCCCTTCTTTCTCTCTCTCGAAATACTATCTTATCACAATTAAGTAATTAGCATATTATTTCAATATTACATTTTTAAAACATTAAAGAAAAAAACAAGAGGTCCTTGTAGTATAACTAATTGTAAGCATGATTAATGAATAATTAATTACAAATAAAATATTTTAAAATATTAATAGGAAAACAAGAAATCCTCTTCTAGTAATGTATGGCCACATAATTCTTATAAACCACCTGTCAGTGCGAATAGTTGCAAAAGCTATTTTTTTAAATCTGCTTAATCTCATGGAAAAGGTAACGAGATAATGAATTAGCAGATCAAAAAGGCTCAGAGAGTTGCCCAGGTCTTCTTTTGTCCTGCAGACCCAAGCCAGTTCCCTAGAAGTTGAGTGGGCCTCAGAGAATATCTCAGGGCAAGGCATTCTATCCTGGATTCAACAGTTGGCCATGGCAGGGTGGAATCTTCTGGTTAGAACCTTGAACCATTGTCTCCTACAGCAGATGTCACAATAGGATTGTCCAGAAGGTCAAGGACTTTGAGATTCAATGGCTGTTTATTGGTACATTCTTTTAAAAATTCACTTCTTTCCTCCTTTATTTTAGCATGTAAGTGTGACTTGGTTTCCAATTGCCAAAGTGTGACAAGTTGTCTCATAAACCTATCACACTTCCATGAAGAAGACAGCAGAATTACAAAAACCATGGGAATCCCATTCCTTCTCCTGTTATGATTATCAAGGGAGGAGCAACCAAAGTGGAGCAAAGGTCTTACAGGTGGAAGCCCTGTTCTCCTCCTCTTCAGGAAGAGCCCAGGAAGGTAGATGAGAAAAGAGGGCAGTTCATCCACACGGTCTGCAACCTTCTCTGTCTGTTCTCAGTCTCATGAATCAAGCTCAATGTGTAGAAGGACTTTGATAAAGCTGTGTTGAAGAATCAGTGACAAGGGAGGTAGTGCCCATATACCTTTTAGGGGCGTAAATGTGTTGACTCAGCCACAAATTTGAACCTCTCTCTTTCTTAGTCCTGTGAACAATAACCATGCACCACACAGCCCAGATACTCCACAGGCAGCTCCATGTGTGAGATCACTTGATTCTGCCCCACAAAATCTTGCAGACAGTGACATTACCTCATTTTATGGTTGCAGAAGCTACAGTGGGGTAACTCTGAGTAACTTGTTCAAGATTTTTTAAAATACTTGGATTCATCAGGACGAGATTTTCCAGGGGGCTCTCTGACCCGATCCTGTTCACTCTGTAAGTCACTCCAACCCCAAGCAAGGGTGTCAGCACGTGTGGTCTCCCTGGCTCCTCGGCTCCTCTATGGCCTCTCATCCATGTCTCTCTTGAGCCTATGTTCCCAGCAAGCTCTCATTTATTAACATCACACCTTCTGTTCTTTGCGAGCAGCATTCTTTGGGACAAGGACAGCTTTGGCAGTGAGTCTAGGTGAGCTCATGGTTGCTTCATTCCAATTTTGAATTTCTATGCATCCCTGTCCCACTCCATGCCCCATGGCACCTTGGTAAATTAATAGCCCTGTGTGTTATTTTTCTGGCCTTGTTTTTCCCCAGGAAGACTTGACATCTAATGCTTTTTGAATGGAAATAATGTCAAGTTCTACTCCTGCAATTGTTGCCTTTGTTACTGGTTTCCTTCCTCTTCCAGCTTTTAATTTTTTTATATTGCACATTTTCCTGTGGTTTATTCCCACTCCACACCCTCAGTCCAACTCAACCCTACCCAGCGCAGTTACTCTTTTTCTTTCTGAAGTGTTTCTCGCCATTGTGCAGAACACTGGGTCCTTGGGTTTGGTTTCTCGCCCTTTCCAAATGCATAACAGTGCTTCCCATTCATATCCCTATGACTTCCAATTTCTTCATCATTGTTTTCAGATGCCAAACCCACCAGCAGGCAAGGGGATCTATCTTGGGGTGCTTAGCATTGTACAGCTCAAAGTGTGTGGCAACTCACTGTGTACGCAAGCTTGAAAACAATCAGCAATCTTCTTCATTCAATTAAACACTAACCAGCCTGTGAGTAATCACTGATAATGCTATTCATTCTATTTTTAGTATCAATAAAAACAATAATTGTATTAGATACATGTCAAATTACTATATTTTGCTCTAGGTAGAAGTGAATTATATACTCAGAATCAGTCATGACTCTGTGATCAGGAGGATAATGGCATTACACATTGAAAGTGTATAAATGATCTGGAGCATTTTCACACTATGTGAGACAGCCTTGTTTTCTCTGGTATCCCTGTCTTTATGCTGGCATTGTAGTAATTTGATTTTAAATTGTCATCAGCATATTAACTGCTTTTTAACAAAGAAAACAATCTCACATTATTCACTTCAATTGTAAAGCAACTCTTATTTATATATGATAAAATATAAGCAAAATGTGCAGTTTAGACTCAAGATACAACCGCAACATCCTCCAATCTCTTTCCCATGGGCTTATGTTGGTTATTTCCTGATTGCCAAGAACTGGGCTCAGCATTGGGTCCACTCAGGTTAAAAATAACGCAGTCTCTTTCTCTCCCTCCCTAGAAAGCTGCAGACATCTCCTCTTGATCAAACTTCTTGTTTTCCTTTTATTCAATCCTTTTTTGGTGCATAGCATGCTCTTTTGGTGCATAGTTGATGTTTCTAAAAAGTACAACCCCAATCAGTTCAGCATGTCCAGAAGAAGTGTTTGTCTTATTTGATGTGGTTAAGAAAGGGAGCTTTCTGAGCATGCTTGGAAAGCTGAAACTGCATGCGACGATTGCCTGGTTTGGCTGTTGTGCCCTCCTGCCCTGGAGAGAGTGAGCTGGGCCTCTCAGCACCCTTGGCCTGCTGTAGGAAAGGCAGGCCCAGAGAATGTACAGCTCACAGGGACCCTCATCACAGAGAAAGGATTTAAGCATCAGAAGAGGACCAAGAGATGGAGAAGATGGGGATATAAAAAGAATTCAGATGCATTATGTTCATGTACCAACTCCCCATGAAGACTAGGATCATTATTCACTACAAATATGTACTAAGAAAATTTTTTAAAACTACATCAGGGCAGGTGAATTTTTCAGATTTCTCAGAATTTCAAGACAAAAGCCTGACATGCTTTTTCCCAAGTATTACTAGATAAGCGCTTTTAAATATAGTCTTTTGCATACTGGGTACCAAACACTGGCCCAAGATATCTTCCTGCCTTTCTGGAAGGTTAAGCAAAGATCCAGTGAGAGACAGCTGCCCAGTATCTTATGTGTGTACAGCTACAAAAATGCAGAAACGTCTTCTATGGTTTCTGGAGGGGGGGGTGGATATCAAAGCAAGCCAAAGCTCCCAGGAAGGAAGTGACTCTGCTGACCCCCAGTGCTGCCCCTCAGGGACAGAGTCCCATCACCTGACATTGAAACTTGGGACAGCCAACTCACACATGGCTCCGCTCCCCTACTGTGGTGCCAGTAAGAGTATTCCCTTCCCTACCTCCACTTGGTCCCTCACCTTGTCTGTGCAGAGAAGATGCTGGCCATCCCATTCCCACCCTTGTCCTCCACAAGCCTTCCTACCTCAGGACAACCAAGGCCGAAATGTTCGCTAATAGAAGCTGCTATGTGGGAAGCCTGCTGGAGGACCTGAACAATTCAAACTTCTCCTGCCAGTGTAGAGCAAAGCAGCCGAGGCTGGGAGGCCTGGAGCTCAGTCCTGCTAACAATAGCTTCAGCCCAGCTTGAGCTAGGGACTGCAGGACACCCTCACCCCTCAGCAGGGAGGGCCTGGCCAGCAGCAACTCCCAAGGGTCCCCAGAGGCCACTGATCTTGGGAAGAGGCTGGAGAAAATCAAGGTGAGACCTGGGCTGTTGGGCCTGGCTCGCTGCCCAGGCCTCTTTGTTATGGGAGGAGGCGTGCAGTGAGAACAGTTGGGATGAAGGCAGCATTCACTTTCTTTGTAATTAAAAGTTGAGAGGCCATGTAATTCAGGCTCGCTCACAGCAAAGATCCACAGAACAGATGACCAGCATTGTTATTGGAGATTTCATGCTGATGAGATGGGCTTTGGAGGGAAGTGACCCAGCAAGGACACAGTGGTGGCTTCCATGAAAATAGGTCTGTCGGGTTGGGTTGACCTTCCATGGAGGGCTGGGCACATGACCACTCTGATAGGGTCCAATCTGTTCCCAGCTTCCAGAGCTGGCAGTTGGTAAGGAGCATCTCTTTGTGGTCCTGTTATCCCACTGCCTGCATCACTGCTGGGTGTGTTTGTCCTCACAGAGATGCCAGAGAGAAGGGCAGGGTGGCATCTTCTCTGAGAGCATCTGCCAGTCCTTCCACACAGCGTGAGACTGGGTGTAAGAGACACTGCACTACTCTAACAAAAGAATCCGGACGGTGGGAAATCTGTGGAATCTCTTCCTACACTGAAGATGTTCTAAGAGATGCTGGAATTGAAGCCAAGATCCAGGTAAACTTCCCACACACCTCCCTAGGGCTAGGAACTGACTTCATTTTATAGCATAGACAATAAGAGGGTGGCTTCCCACTACCAACTTTCAGGAGGGCTAGAGGGGGAAAAGTCATACCGCTTTATGATATACAACATTCCTTTTCCCATATATTCTAAAGGAAAATGTGCAGCCTAAACTTGGGGAAGGCAAGCCTGAACAATTGCAGCACAGCAGCCTTCAGCAAATGCTAGCTGCTTTTGTTATAATCACTATTGCTACCATTCCTCCTCCTCTGGCAGGGAATGAGCAAGAATGTTGTTCTGTTTTTCATTTTATTAGTTTAGGGAACTGTTAAATAGGAACATCTTCTGAAAAAAGAAAAGGAAGAGTTTTAGTTAGACTAAGTCTGCCTAGGATTCACACAAATACAAAAAAAAATGTGTTTCCATTTGTGTGTACTGGGGGGGGGCAGATACTGGGGACTGAACCCAGGGCCTTTGCACTAAGATACATCCCCACCCCTCTTTATTTTTTATTTTGAGACAGGGTCTCATTAAGTCACTCAATTGGGCTTGAACTTTCATTTTGTCATTTTTTAAATTTTTAATTGAAACAGTAATTGTACATATTGTGGGGCACAATGTGATATTTCAATGATTTATTAGTTTTATAACCTTTTTTCCTAATTTTGGCTCCTAAACACAGAATTTTATTTATTGTTATAATTAAGAATCTTATTAGAATCTTAACAGAATCTTAGTTATCGTTATGGCTTATATCTAGATGTACCCCCAAAGCCTCATACACTCACAGATGGGGTTTAGAGGAAGTGACTGGATCATGGGTATTTGATACTGGATCATGGCTGTATGATACTAGATTAGTTCACTGGTTAGTTTAACATAGTTTTGGATATGGATGATAAATTTAGAATGAAGAGGGAAGACTCATCTTGGGTGTGGTTGGCATCAACCAATAGAATTGTGGCCTGTGTAAATAACAATGGAAAGAAAAAGGAAGGCTTGCCGCTTCCTACCTGCCATGCCATGGACTGTTTCTCCTCTACTATGCCACTCTGCCCTGCCTTCCAGCCAGCAGACTATGGACTGAAACCTGGGTAGCAGGTATTTTGTTCCAATAATAAGAAAGTAACTAAAATAATTATAGTTGAATTAGGTTCCTGTTCAATACAGCCTGTGTTTCCTAAACATAAATTAAGAGTTGTTAGATAAAGGAAATTCGCAAAGACTGCCAGTATATTAATTAGTATAATATTGCCTATTGTGTCAAATAGACCCCAAAATGTATGTAATTGTGTGACCTAAAGAAATTAATTATTCTTATTTCTTTGATACAGAGTGACATAGTGAGTTGTCAAAGTGGATGTGGATGGTTGTCCGCATGGTTGGATTCAGGGATTCTGGGGCTGTTTATCTTGGGGTCCCACCTCTCTCTGAGGCATCATTAACATCTGCATTCATTGTGTTGTAAGAAAAAGAGCATGGGGAATACATAGCTGCCTTTTCAAGGCTGTGGGCCAGCATAGACCCTGTCACTTTGTCTCACTCTCAGCCACACAACAGGCAGTGGTACCTAGTGGTGTTCCAGGAGGGAGGCAGAGTCTCTTGGACACACCTCCAAGAAGGCTGTATAAAAGGACAGCGTATGACCTACATATTCTCCAGAAAAGCTACATCATGGATCATTCAGTGCCAGGGCTGGAGAGAATGTGCAGAGTACTTGGACCAGTTTACATGTGCGCACACACACACACCCTCTTTTAAAAATACACATACATAAGCAGAGTGCCTAATGAAAAACCTCATAGATAATAACTGTACAGAACATAGTGAGGAATTGTCATCATCCCCTGAACAGGGGCGCTCAAGCTCAACTTGCTGGGCCAGGAGATGTTATGCAGGATCAGCAGCTGTGTAGGAAAAGCAGTAGGAATAGAGGAAAGGAGGTGTTCACTGCCACCTAAAGCCACAAATCCCAGGATACACAATTCCTCCTGATTTGGAATATTAACCTGTAATGGTGAAAATAACAGAGCACCAGAAGAGGCTGCCAGAGATGACACCTGTACAAGTTTACAGGAAGCTTCTAAAAACCAGGGCCGGAGTGACTTTGGGGGTCCCAAAAATATGCCGCAGAATACTCTGAAGACAGACTGCTGAGGGCTGAAACTGGAAACTCTGTGAATTCAAAGCAGAGAAATTATTCAGACACTGATTTCAGAAAAGGTTAATCTCCAAAAGTAATAATTTTGCAAAATGGAGACTATGTAAACAGTGTTACTGGATTGGAAAGCAATACATGTATTCAGAAACTAAATTAGAAAATGGCTCAAGAGGAGATAAATGACAACAGTTTGTGTCCCACTCAAATTAGGATTTGATAGGGTCATTAGGATTGTGATCCTCATGATGGGACTGGTACCTTATAAAAAAAGGATGCCAAAATTCATTCTCTCTCTCTCTTTCTCTCTCTCTCTCTTTCTCACTCTCTTCCTTCCCCTCTCCCTCTCTACAAAGAAGAGGTCATGTGAGCACACAGCAAGACAGTAGCCACCTATAAACCAAGAAAAAACCTAGAAGGAAACCTACAAAAGTATGGGAAATAAAGAAAAAAATTTAAATCCTTAAATAAATTTATAAATATAGAAGAAAGGTCAGCAAACTACAGATCAGTTTTATTTTGTGGCTTGCTTTTGTTATGACTTCTGTTATAATCAAGTGATTTTTAACTTTGTGAAAGTTATAAGAAGAAGAAGAGAAGGGATATGAGGGAGACAATGATAAATATAATATATAAATATATTAATACATTTATATATTAATATATTTATATATAATATATAATAGAGCCTGAAAAGCCTAAAATCCTTACAGAGAATGGCTGGCATCCTTGGTATAGAGGACTATAGAGCAAGACTATCCAACACATATGTATTTCCAGAACAGAGCAGAACAGAATAAAAATTTAAACTAGAATTCAAGAAATTATTCATGAATAAAAAGCTTGTAGATACAAGTTGATACCTAGTGAGAAAAGAGGCTCATATATTACATACTTACATGCAGTATAATAAACCTGAAGAAAACCTAGATAGGCAAGACAAGTAGATACTCATTTCAGGTAAAAGGAGCTGTAAGTGTATTTATTTGTAGCACTAATACTACCATCTCAGAAATGGATCAAAAATATGTAATAGAGATGCCTTGATAAAGTATAATTCACAAAGATTAAAAGGAAGTGAGGTGCATGGGCTAAGAGAATAGGCTCCTTGGCTAACACAACAATATTAGCTAAAATCAAAAGGATTCTGAAGCAAGAGAGGAGAAAGTTGGGGAAAGATAGGTTTGTTTTCTAAGCCCACTGTTGTTTACAGCAAGAGAAGATGCCCTTTATAAACAGCAGAGGGAAAATAGACAGAAAAATAACTCAACTTTCCAGTGCCTAAGAGACTATAACAAAATATCTAACTTCAGATTTGTGTCATCAAAGTCCAAGAGCAAGAAGATGATGGAATCAGAAAAATATTTGAAGAAATAATGGCTAAAAATTCCTCCAAAAGACTCAAATCTACATGTCCAAGAAGATAAGTGAAGTCTAAACAGAATAAATTCAAGACATTCACAGTGTGACCCATCATAATCTTTTAAAACCAAAATTCAAAGAAAAAGTCTTGAAAGAAGTTAAGAGATAAATAGAGCTTTGACATTTGCTTTTGGAACAACAGCAGATTTCTCATCAGAACCAGAAAGATAACAAGGTAGTGAACATTTGGCAAGTGCCAGAAGAAAATAACTGTCAACCCAGAATCCTATATTTTAAAAAATCTCTTGCAGGAATTAAAATCCAAGAAATTTTCAAATGAAAAAAGAGCACCAGCATACCAACCTTGAAAGAATGGCTGAAGGAAGTTCTCTAAAGAGAAAGGAAAACAAGATTGAGAAGAAGTTTGGAACACTGGGAAAGGAAATAAAAACCAGAAAGAATAAAAACTATGGGCAAATTGCCACCCCAAAGAAGATCTTGAGAGACATACAAACGAGATACTATTAGCTGAGGTCTGCTTGCCTAGGACAGACCATCTGGACCCCAGAGCTGGTAGGGACACTACAATGATCATTTTGAACTATTTCTGGGAGTGAAGTACAGTCTTAACATGAAAAGGAGAAGCACCAGGCGCTACAGTCTTGGGATGCACCTGCACATCTTTGTTGACTTTACGATAGTTTCATTTACTTATGTAGTTATTGTCTGGGATCACACCCAAGCACTAGCATAGACTGGGTAACCACCTACCAATAAGCCCCTGTGGATTTTAAGTCCAAGAGCTGCAACAAGATTTCAAAGTGAAGCCCAGGTTTTGACACTGGCTCTGGCATAGAGAAAAGTCAATACAAATAAATGAATAAACAAATTACAAATTATAAAAAATTACAAATTACAAATTGACAAAAGTCAATTACAAATAATTGAATAAACAAAATAAAGGAGAGATAATAAGAAGTTAGAATGCATGCTCCTAGAAATGGGGAAGGTGATCTGGGGAAGGTGGGATATAAGGGAGAGAGAGGAAAGGGATTGAAAATGATCAAGAAATGTTATATGCATCTACCACTTGGCCTAAATAAACATCACTATTCTCTTTTGCAAGCATACACTAATAAAAAAACCCCAAAACAAACAAATAAAAAACACATGCCAGAATCTCAGCCCAGGACACAGACCAGCTAAAACATGGGGATTTAATTGCAATGCTACAGCAGGCTTCTCCTCCCCAACAAATTACCACACCATCAACGGGGTTCTAGTATAACAGAATATCACAGCTGCAAGACACAAATTCTCTGTGGGGAGGAAGAGGAGGACTAAAAGAAGCCTCCCCCCAAAAAACATGGCATTTAAAAGCAAAACAGAACCTAGAAGAATTGAAAGCTGCTGACAGTAACTATTAAATGCATCCCAACTCTAGTGAATCAATGTAAAATTTCACACTAGCAAC